AGACAGGGACAGGCTGTTTCTAAGCAAAAAGCTGGCAGTTTCATGTGTCATGGCTTCTCATTGGCTGAACCATAGTGGGATGGGGAGGGGAGTCTTCTAGCTGGGTGGTAAAGTAGCTAAAATAGTGTGGTGGCCTCTCTTCCCAAGGGATCTGAGATGTAGGAGGAGTCATGGGCATGAGAGCTCCTGCAGGTGGTGGAGCGGTGGAGGCCATGTCAGTGAGCTTTTCCATAATTACTTTCACAACCTCAAGCCCTACCCCAACCAGTAGTTGGAAAAATGCTCAATCAATATTTGCTGATTAAAATCAGCAACCTACCAAAGTTGGCTTCTGGAAGCTTTAGATGAACTCAGGGGAACCTATCTGTGAATTTTTAAAAATTGTAACTCAAAAGATGTTAACTACCCTTTGGTGGTCTGTTTTTTATAAAAAATCCACTCCATTACCAAGGTTTTAAGAACCAGGTCATCTGGCCACTTGCTGCTTCTTGAACCTCTTCTCTCCTTAGACCCCTCAGCTCATAACCTTCTATCCTTCCTCAAAGACCCTAGTTTTTCCTGCCTCAGCACCTTTGCACCTATGGTGGTTTTTTCTGCCTAAAATGCTCTTTTCCTGCCTGATTCTTATTTATCCTTCAGGTCTCTGCTTAAATGTTTAGACTTTCCCTGACCCAGCTATCTAAATGACACCACTCAACTCTCAATTACTCTTTCTCATGGCATCTTGCTCTTTCCCTATAGTAGCATTATCACAATTGGTAACTCTCTCTGTACGTTTGTATATTGAGACTGTCCATCTCCCCCATCAGACTCCCTGAGGGTGATGGGGTCTCTGGTTGGATGGCTCAGGGCTCTGTCCCCAGTGACCAGAACACCCAAGGTACACACGAAACATCTGCTGAGGGCCTGAACCACTACTGAATCTCCAGGATGCCAACCCCACAAGGGAGGACAGACCCAGCACACAGACAGCAGCTTGGTCAGAGTAGGCAAATGAAGGATTTACCCAAGCAAGAGCTTTGAAGAGTTGAGAACTGAGATAAGGCATGTGCTGTATGTGACCTGTGTGGAGATGGCCTGCTCAGACCCCAGGGAGGGGGGACCAGCGCTGGGAATGAATAGGCCACCTTCTCCTTGTCCCCAGACTCTCTGTTCCTCCACCCTTCCCAGGAACTCAGGGATGGTGCCAGCGTAGACTCTGGGTGGGCAGCAGATTCTCGCCTGGGGACAGGTTCCTTCCCACTTTTTCTTACTGGGGGCGAGTGAAGTTGGTTTGGAAGAAAATGTCAAAGTAAAACACAATGCAGGGATTGAGTATTGCTTGCTGCCATTTGAAAGGAATGAAAGTGGGATCAACCAAAAACAAAATCCAAAACAAAACAAAAACAAAAACACTCTACTGTTTTAGACTCTGCCTCAGAAACAATCATCTTACTGTTTTCAGTGTCAAAATAAAATCAAGGATTTATCCAAGAGCTTTGTTCTGCACTTGGGCTCAAACAGTCTGCAGAGAGACTGATCTCTGGGTAACCATTTTGCAGCTACCAAGGAAAGTACTCTTCCATTCTTGAGTACCTACTGTGGGAGGAGGGGGTCTCAGGTGCATTGGAAAGAAAGGGTTGAACATCCAATTGAGTGGGTAAAGGGTTAAATCAGCATCGACCAAGTGATATTTTCAATGTCTACCAGATGTTGTCATTTTCCTCTTTGAAACCCTCCAGGCCTCAGAACCAAATGTTAAACTCTCTCCATTATTACATAGGCTGAACCACGGCCACCAGAAGACATCAGACCTGTTCAACCATTGTGGAAAGCAATGTGGAGTTCCTCAAAAAACTAAAAATAGAAATACTATTTGACCCAGGAATTCCACTCTTAGGAATTTACGTGAAGAAAACAAGATCCCTCATTCAAAAAAACATGCACCCCTAAGTTTATTGCAGCACTATTTACAATAGCCAAGATATGGAAACAACCTAAGTGTCCATCAGAAGATGAATGGATAAAGAAGATGTGGTACATATACACAATGTAATATTATTCAGACATAACAAGAAAATAAATCCTGCCATTTGCAACAACATGGATGGTGCTAGAGGGTATTATGCTCACTGAAATAAGCCAGGAGAAAGACAAGTACCAAATGATTTTGCTCATTTGTGGAGTATAAGAACAAAGCAAAACTGAAGGAACAGAACAGCAGCAGACTCAGAGTCCAAGGGACCAGTGGTTACCAAAGGGAAAAAGTTGGGAGGGTGGTGGGGAGGGAGGGAGAAGGGGATTAAGGGGCATTATGATTAGCACACATAATGTAGGTGGCTCACCGGGAAGGCAGTACAGCATGGAGAAGACAAGTAGTGACTCTAGCATCTTACTACGCTGATGGACAGTGACTACAATCACTGTCCTTCAGCAATGTTGTCCATTTACAATGTTGTTCATGTGAAACCTTCATAAGATTGTGTATCAATGATACCTTAATAAAAAAAAAAAGCAGAAGACAACATTTTAGAGACAAAAAAAAAAAGAATCTAGGGGTTTTAGGAAGGAGGAAAAATGGCTGACTTTAAAGAGCAGCAAGGATTTTTAGCCCACCTCTGACCTGTGGTATGATGGCTCTTGGGAAGAGAGCAGCCATAGCTCAGCAGGATGCAGGGGAAGCAGGGTCCTCAGAGGGGAACCAAGCTTGGAAAAAAGTAAGCAAAAAGATGAAGAGAACAGGAAGACACAGACCAGGATGTCCGTTCATTACAGAACTCTCAGTAATAGTGAACATCTGGAAACAACCTAAATGTCCAGTGCCTGGGGAATGAATAAATAAACAAGATTAGTCCAAAATAGAATTTACTACATACAATAATGAGAAAGAATGTACTAGAGCCACAGGGATCAGCATGGAAGAAAGGCTAACATCAACTTGAGTGAAATAAGCAAGTTGCAAAGGTTACATTCAGTACAATGCTGCTTATCTAAAATGTTAAGACTTACAAAACAATAGTATTTTATTTATGTTGTTATGCAAGGGTAATGTCATCCTTGGAAAGGATTCCAGTAGCCTCAGGATGGTGGTTTTGTGGTTACCTGTGGAGAGAGAGGGAAGGGAAATGGGTGGGGGCAGGGTTAGAGTAGCTTTGGTTGTATCTAAAACACTTTACTCCTTAATGAAAGAAAAAATAGAAATAGGGAATAATTTCTGTTCTCTTAAGCCACCAAGTTTGTGGTAATTTGTTGTAAGAGCCTGAAGAAACTAGTAGGATCATCTAAACGGCTGTATCTCACCTGGTCCCTGCCCATATGTCAAATGTCATACTCGTTCTGCCACAGCCCACCAGGGATCATCTGTTCTTCAAACTATCTAGCTTCCTCCAGCCTCAGAGCCTTTGTACTTACTAAATTCTTCTCCCAGATCTTCCCCAGGCAGCTCCCTACTTATGATCCAGGTTTCTGCATAAATGAAGGTTTCTCACCTTCTCTGACCAGTCTAAAAATTGCCTCCTGGTCATCTTGTTAAACTCCTGTTTTGTTTAACTCACAGCATTTTTTACTATCTGAAGTTGTGTTTTTTCTCTCCCCAATTTATACTTGTCACCGCCAGTATAAAGTGGGATCCAAGAACACCAGACAACAGATAGGGGCTGGGTTAGGGCCTGAGTAAGGGCTCTGCAAACATTGGTTGATAAATAAAATTGTTATCTGGGCAAGATGCTATGCCTGAGGGTGTGTGTGCGTGTGTGTGTGTTTCAGGGTGCAGGTGTAGCAATGCTATCTTAATCACGACATCATCTCCTACCTTCTGAGTGACCACCAACCCCTCTCCACACGGACTGCCAGGGGATTCATTGTGCACAACATCTCTGTGAAGTGAGACTTTCGTATCCCTATCTTACAGGCAAGACGAGGAGCGCTCTTACAAGTTACTGCTGAGAATGTTGAGAAGTGAAAATCACATCTATTGACTTAGGAGCACCCAGTTTACCCAGCCCCTCCCCTGGGTGCTCAGTCTCCTGGGGCTCCTTAGGGCTCACTGTAAAAGGATGCTTATTCTGTTTTGCGGAGAGACTTCAGAGAGGCACAGGGGCTCGCTCAAGGCCACCCAGCACCCTAGAGGCATCCAGGAGACAGCCTGTACTGGCACACTCTGCGAGTGGTCACCAGTTTATCTGAGGCGTGGAAGTTACTGGCCAGGAGGGCGCGGAGCAGCGGTCAAAGCCCCGGCGAGTGTGGTAACTCCCAGCGCACGGCTTTCCCCGAGGGAGAAAAGCGCAGCTATGTAGGCTGGTTCTGGCGCAGCCATCTCACACACCGTGGCCTCAGTTTCCCCGTTTGTAAAGTGGATGCAATTTCCCACGGATCAAGGCCGTACCGGCCAGAGGCGAGAGAAGGGTTAAGGGGGCGTGTCCCTCGGCGTGGGCGGGGCCCGGGTTCCGGCCGCACCTGGCGGCTCCCCACTCCCCGCCCCCAAGCGGCGGTAGCGCCCAGCTCCGCTGTGAGAGCCGGAGCCCCCCAGGGAGCAGCGGCGCAGGAGCCGGCACCCACCGCGGGAGGGGCGGCGGCAGCAGGCACAGCGACCTCGGGAGGGGAGCGGAGCTGCGATGGCCGAGTTCCCGGCTAAAGTGAGCACGCGGACCAGCAGCCCCGCGCAGGGCGCCGGCGCCTCGGTCTCAGAGCTGCGCCCGGACCTGGGTTTCGTGCGTTCCAGCCTCGGTGCGCTCATGCTGCTGCAGCTGGTGAGCGCGCGCAGGGCCGCGGGCCCGGGTGGGAGTTCATGGGCAGACCAGGAGGGGTCTGGGGCTCCGGGGCTGCGGTCCTTCCTCCCGGTACCGTCCAGCCCAGGCTCACGCATCCCGACGCGCAGTGCCTACCCCGGGGCGCCGCCTCCAGGACGGTCGCCCCCGAGATCACCCTCGAGACCTCCCCATTGCCGTCCCTGAGACCACACCTGTTCAGAGTGCCCACTCTCCAACACCCCCATCATCCCCCCAGGAGGTCCCCAGGCTATCCACAGAAGCGCTCACATAAGCTCATCACTGCGCCCAACTCTCTGTCTCTCTCCTGCTCTCTCTGCCTGTCTCTCTGTCTGGATAATGTGCCCAGCCCTCCAGGGGACCCAGCCTGAGGCAAAGTCCACTCGGCTAACCCTCTGCTGGGCAGCCAGGGCTCCGCATGGCCGTTACCCAGAACCTTCCTCGTCCAATCCAGAGGGCACATCGGTTCCGACGCGGGCATTTCGGCAGGGCGCGGGAGCCGGGCCCTTCTGGCCTCCTCTGGGTGACCCGCCCGGTTGCAGCCGGTTTCGCCGTCCAGGTGGGGCCGAGGTACCACGCCTGGCGCTGGAGAGAGGAATCTGTGGGAAGCCAGAGGCAAACTCCTACGTCCCTTAGACCCTCCGCAGAACCCAGATGAGGCAGGCCGATGGGAACATCCGTCTCCCTACACAGCAGTTTCAGGCCTGGGGGTTTTACAGCTCTCTTCCTTTGTGCCTTCTGGTGTGAGCCGGAAGCTGGGTGGCTGTCCCAGTGGGAGGCTTCCCCAGCAACTGAGGGCCTGGTTCATTTTCGGAGGGCTAGGGTGGAATTGGAGGAGGGCCAGGACCTATTTTCCTTTGGGGCATCTCCTGCCTTCCCCCTACTCGGGGGCCCTAGCGTGGACTGGCTGAAGGACGGGTGTCTGGGCCCCAGCTGATCTCCGCCTGGGTCAGTGTTATCTCTATTTCAGAATTCCTGAAATCTCTCCCAGTGGGCCCTCCACCCCGACCCCAGCCTCCCACTCTCCTAGAGGGGCTTATTATGTAGATTCTTGGTTGCTACCCTGGAAAAAAATGTGGAAATGGAATCTCAGGAAGTACAGCCTAGAAATCTACATTTTGAGCTCCTCTCCCAAAGTTGTTTTGGAGATTGGGGGAGGGTTGGGGAGGGTAACAAGTCAGTTCCGGGACTAATTTAAATCTGCAGGTAGCCGGAGCCTGTCTGGAGGCTGCAGTGAGCCAGGCTCTGGGATGGTTGGGAAGCACAGCAGCGAGCAGGCAGGGATCCCAGGTCCCAGGGGTGTGAAGAGGCAGAGGAGCGGAGATAAGTTCCGAGTCAAGGCAGGCGGTTGGAGGAGAGGTGGCTTCTGTGCTGGAACTTCTCTAAAATCTGTGGCAGGGCGGCGTGCTGTGTGAGCCACTCTTGGGGATGGGAAAGTGGAAGGAAGGAGCAGGGAGTAGCCCACAGGGAGGTGAAGCACTTGTTTCTGGGGTGACCAGGAGCCCCGGGGAGGAGGAGGGGGCTTGAGTGCCTGTGTCAAGATGGTGAGCTTTCTGTTGGCAGCCTTAGGAGCTTTTGCAACATAGAGGGACCTCTGCAGGGCTGAGGATGACAGTGAGGTGGTGGGGTCGATCCCCTAGGGCTGGTAGACAAGTCCTGAGCATTTGAACAGTGAGAACTGGAGTAAGAGGAGGGCCCTGTTGTGGCTGGCTGGATTGGATAGCTTCCTCTACCTGAGGCTAGTGAATCTTATTTAGGACTCCCTGTGGGCTCAGCAGCCCAGTCCTGAGCATCTGGGTCCCATTGCACAGATGGGCTACATCTACTACCGAGGTCTAGGTAGGATATGGGACTTGCCAGGAGACCTGTGGTGGAGCGTGGCTCTTAGGTCTCCAGACTTCCCGGGACTGGTGAGCGTGGGGTGGCCTTCCTTTGCCTTCTCTGCTGTGCTTTGGGGGCCTGGGGGGTGGGGAGGGATGAGGGTCTTCCCTCAGCATTCTAAAGAACTGCACCTTTTAGTGCCTTAACCAATCTGCTTGCGGGGAAGCTGCTTACTGAGCTCTTTCTCTAGCACTGGACACCTCCACTGGGTCTGAGACGGTTCGCTCAACAGGGACCACCATCTGCTGGGAAACCTTAACAGCTCCCACCAATCAGGTGCAGACTAGGCTCCTGGGCCCTTTGCTAAGAGCTTTGTATTCTCTGATTCTCCCCGGTTATACCGGTGAGGAAATGAAGACTCAGAGGTCAGTTTTTTGCCCAAGTTCTCTCAGAGGTGGTAGAGCTGAGTGATCTTTTTCTGTCCATGGTCTTAATTACCACACTCAGCTGTGCTCCCACGGGGCACTGGAGGTGGTGCTGTTGAGGGGGTGATGGAGCCCCCAGGCCCAGCCTGCTCTCCAGAAGGTCTTGATCTGTGGGTGAGGTGCCTGGAGGATGAGCTTCTTGTGGAGGTATCAGTGAAGGTTGCATGGAAGAGGCAGTAAATGGAGGACAAAAGCGAATTCTCCATCAGACCCCTTTGTTTCCCAGGGTTTGGTGAAGTGTTCCAGTGGGGGTGGGGTGGTAGAAAGGCCCTAGTTTCATGTGCTCTTTGTCTAGTGTTAAATGTGAACCAACCTCAGTGTTCACTGGTTTATCACTCCCCCTATCCCATCTAGTTCAGAAAGAACATTAGATGAAATATGATATTAAGCCACATGTGACAGAAGAGTTAAAGTAATACATTTTCAAAAGTTGGTGGTATGTGTGTGTGTTGAGGGTGGAGGTTGATTTAAAGGGAGTTAAAAATTGATAATTGTACCAGGAAGCTGTAGCAAATTTAAGACTGTTGGATTTTTTGTTGTTGAGCTTTCTAGCAGCCTAAGCAAAAAGAGAAACATGATGAATTTATGGATATGGATAGAGCATCTAAAAAGGAAACAAGCAAGTTTGATCTGAAGAGACAACTTCTGGTCATTAAAACCTGGAGGCTTTGATGCTGCAAAGCTTTGTGTGGCTGGGGTAGAGGGGTGTTGTGGAAGGTGTGGTTAACTTGTGCTTATTTCAAAGCCTTTCTAGTATAGGTATAAATGGTATGCCCTTCAGTGCCCCTCCTATTTTTTTTAAGGCCCCCAAGCAGTGGGGAGAAAGATTATTTTACATAGGCTTACTGATGTGGAAACAGGCTCAGAGAGGGTGAAGAGCTTATAGAAAGTCATACCAGATAGAGTGGCAGAACTGGGATTTACACTCAGCTCTGGGCAGCCAAAGCCTGGCTTTTGCTGTGCTTCCTGTTGTTTTGGGTTTGGGTTTGGGTTTGGGGAGGGGATAGAGGGTCCTAGGTTGCTTTGGAGGGGGAGGAGAGAAACTTCAGGGAAGGAGACTCACTGGGGCCAGCACCACTAGGGCAGCCTTCCTGAAAGAAGTGGGCTTGCAAGTGTTTAGTTGCAAGGGGGCAGTAAGAAGGAAGTTTAGAACAGGCGAATCTGCAAAAAGCTTATGTTGAGGACATAGAAACTTAATGAATTGGCTGTGGCAGTAAGGCCATTGGTGTTTGGCACCTTCTTCCTTCTTGCTGTACCTCCTGGGACTGGGGGTGGCCACACAATTTCAGTTGGCAGGTCAATAAACAGGTATCAGAATCCTCACCTGCCTCTAGATCACAACATGGGCAGTGCTGAGAGTACTGGTGGGAGCACAGGCCTGGAAGCATAGAACATTGGGTTCAAATCCTAGCTCTGTCCCCTCCTGACTGTGTGATCTTGGGTAAGTTCCCTCATACCCATGAGCCTTGTATGTAAAATGGTGACGGTGGAATTATGGGGAATATGGAAGGTGATGCCTGCAAAGGGCTTAGCATAGTGCATGTTGGGATGAGAGGCAGTTAGGATTCACAGGGTCCTAGAATCCTAGGGCTCTTCTGCTTGCTTCCAGAGGTCCCTCAGTATGTCCTCAACATGAGCTTCACGCTTCCAGGGACAGGGAGCACAGTCCCTCTTAAGGTGTGCTCTATCTTTGAGCACTTAGAAAGTGCTGGAAGAATGTTAGAAAGTTCTTCCTTTAATCATGTGGGCTTTGTCTCCAGCCCCAACATGTTTGGCAGTTCCTCCCCAGGTGGGGACAACGGCAGGGCCTGAAAGTCAGCAAGGGCATTGGGGTCTGAGGTGTGAGCAGAGAGGTTGGTCACGTTGGGATGCAGTGTGGGGAGCCCGGGCTCCCCGTCTTCCTCCAGCCCACCTGCCCCAAGACTGCCGCCCAGAGGAAAACCGTGCTTTTTTTTTTTTTGGTATCATTAATCAACAGTTACATGAGGAACATTATGTTTACTAGACTCCCCCCTTCACCAAGTCCCCCCCACATACCCCATTAGTCACGGTCCATCAGTGTAGTAAGATGCTGTAAAATTACTACTTGTCTTCTCTGTGTTGCACAGCCCTCCACGTGTACCACCCCCCACATAATACATGCTAATCGTAGGGCCCCCTTTCTTCTTCCCCCTCTTCTCCCTCCCTTCCCACCCATCCTCCCCAGTGCCTTTCCCTTTGGTTACTGTTAGTCCATTCTTGGGTTCTGTGATTCTGCTGCTGGAAAAACCCTGCTTTTTATTGTTAGCTCTGCCCACAATCCCCACTTGTGGCCAGGAAAGAGTTTGAAATTAATTTATAATTGCATAATAATATGAACACATTCGCCTTACAAAATATGAACCTATTACAGATAAGGGTTAAGTTATTCTTGGATTGCCTGTCCCTTTCCCCAAGGGGACACCTGTTTTGGGGTGTTTCCTGTTCTTTTTCTTGCACATCTTAACATTGATGGTTTTATTTTGTATCCTTTGTTCAACAAATTGCTTTTCTCACACCTAGTGCACCCATGATCTCTTCCTGTTACACAAAACTGTCTCCCTCCTTTCGAATTCTTTGGAGAGTGTCCCCTAGTGTCCTTGTAACCCCCACTCATTTAGCCATTTCTCTATTGATGTGCCCATTTTTTTAAAAATTTGTTTTATTTTTTGCAAAAATTACACAGATACACAGCAAAACATTCAAACAGTACAAGGGGGTGATCAGTGAAAATGTGATCTTTCTCATCCCCAGCCAGTCCCCCCACTGCCCTCCCTCAGGGCTACCACCAGTATGTAGAATTCCGAGGTGAGTTAATGGATTTTTATACACACAACCCCTAGCCTCACTTAAAAAAAGCAGGTGGGAGCACTCTGCATGTGGGGTCTGCCCTGCAGTTTTCCCCTTGGCAATACACCTAGGGCTGTTCTATGTCAGCATTCATAATACTGCTTGTGTCTTTTTTTCAATTCCTAATTTTCCTTGTATTCTTTAATAGGTGATATATTTACAATGGTCCAGAATAAAATAGAGTGGGGAAGAGCACAGTGAAACATATCTGTCCCCCATGCCCAATTAGTTTTCCATGTACCATTTTAGATGTTTTTAAAGGAGGTGTACGTGGCTATAGATTTCCTCTTCTCTCCACTTTATCCAAGGGGTATGTATATTCTATTCGCATCTTTCTACACTTTTCCTTTTTCACTTAAAAATGTGTCTTGGTGGTCTTTTGCCT